CATAACACTGTGATACTGGATTACATCACCTCGGGAACAGTAGACATTATTGATACTTGAACATTGTGCACTGTACCACATGAGGTCATCTCCTACAACTGCACAGTAGTCCTGCTGTGCAGAGGCCCATTTGCTGGTATGTGAGAGGTCATTGCCTGAGACACCTTCACCTGTTCTGAAATCAACACAACAATCATCTCAAAATCAGCAACTCAGTTTTGTCATATTTACATAAACAGACATGGATATTGACATAAAGGTCATTGCAAAAAAGATACTCACCTTAGATTTATAGACTTCCAGAATGAGTCATCTTCAGGATCTCTGAGTAGACCAATCCAAATGTTTGGGACATTCATTTGGACCAAATATTGTCTAATAAAATTCATATTTATCATGTCCAAAGTAGCCAAGTCAACATAATCTGTCTGGCAGAATAGTCTTGCTTGTGTCCAATTAATTTTCACAAAAAAAATGTCTGTCTCAAGATCAATGTTTCCTTTTAAGCCACAGGCAGCCATTAGTACGAGGCAAAGTGCCAGTTCAAAGTTGCTTTTCCCCATATCTGCTCCTGTTTGGACAACAAGCCACACAGATCAGTTTTCAGAGATTGTATTTGCTGTCAGTCAGTTTATGATGTGATCCATGGCTGCTGAACAGCAATCACCCTGCTTTTATAGCAACCAGCTATGTGATCAGTGCCACCTACACGCACCTCAACATCCAGCTGACCAATAGGAACTCTGCACAATTTCAAATACAATTCAAATGGCCCTGTTGTTGTACTCTTCTGTTGTCACCTTTGACTTTGTTCTTAAAGATGCTCTCCTACTCTACTGTGACACTACATGTTTGTTTTTTTTATATTTGTTGAAATAGTTTGGGAAAACTCTTCCTTTCTCTCTAATTGGGAAACTAATTGCTAATTGTTTGAGAATGTCTAATTTCTTTCTTAATAAGTGTGCAATCCAGTTAACTCCCACTACTACTAATAAGTGAGGTTTTAACAACAGCTCGATCATATTCAGTCTCGTATGGAGCTTGAAACAGAGTTCACCTTAGTTCAATCTTAACCCTGTATCCCTAGCATTACCCACTGCTAAAACCCCCACCAAATCTGGTATATATTTATACGATATTTGCATGAATGGGGGTCTTTGCTTCTTTCAAGCAGTTACAAAGGAAATAGGGATTGCAAAGTAACAGCTTATCCCTGCTACCTGCAGGTAACGTCAGGTATAAATTAATTTTGAGACTATAATAGAGAGTAGCATGTAGAAAAATATGTTAAAATCCCACCTGATGCTCTTTTGCTGCAGGCGCCTCCTCTTCTGCTAAGCGGGAAAATTACTTTGGAGAATGTATTCCAGACAACATTTGGGAGAACTGCCTTGAAAACATACAAGAACGCTTTCCATTGTCTCATTCAGTTTAAATTCATTCCCAGGCCTCATTACATTGTCAGGGGATGTAGCTCAGTGGTAGAGCGCATGCTTTGCATGTCTGAGCGCCTGATTTCAATCCCCAGCATCTTCAGGTTTTGATACCATCAAGCTTCTGAGCTACAGCTCAAAACTTCTACTGAATTTCCTGGAGGAATCCACCCGAGGGATTAATAAAGTTTCACCTAATCTAATCTACTCCGAGTTGCTCTATAATATGTGTCCCGAGTTTTGGACTATCCCACAAAATCAAGCTTTTTTTGGCTGAGATATGTACCCTAATGTATGAGGTCACTAAGACACTGTTTAGACCAGATCCTTTTTTTTTGATCAGTCATGGTGTTTCTGAGACTTTCAGAAACGTTTTCTGTCATATTCTCTTTTAGCAGGCAATAAATAAATAGATAATAAATAGACTGCCCACTCAACCTGACAAATACACTCCATGTAAAAAAGATAAGACACGCTGGGGATGACAAGAGATGTACCTGGAAAGACTGCTGAGTGAGTGAGAT